AGACACATTCCACATTCAAAACCTAAGAAGTAGCAAGGCTGTTGCGATTGCAACAACACAATCTGAACATAGTCAAAATATAATGACAAGCAAAAGCTAGATTCTGAGATATGTCTGTTCTGCTTATGGAGGGAGATATTGCCCATACACAAAATAGCACAATATCTCATCGCGTTGTACACACAATTTGTTGGATTACATCTGAAGTCTAGCAAATTAAATTCTTATTGCAACTTATTTCATACAATATACAATACACTTTACTTAGCTATAAACTTACAAAGTTCTTAGCTATAACAATCGACACAAATATATGAGAAATAGTTTGCACTGGGTATACAATATTGTCAATATACAATAGTGTAAGATATTTAGTAGAATAAAAAAATAACGTGTCAACTATTAATATTTGTTAAGCGGTCGTTTTGTGACTAAATATATTTGGTCAAATTTATAACATTAATTCTCACATTTGTACAGCCGTATTCTGTATAAAAAGGAAAATATCTTTGAACATTCTTTTCCTGATTTATGCAATTTTTCCAAATTTTATAATAATCTATTTCAAAATGGTATCAGTTTTGTCGCTGAAAAAATTGACAAAAACAATACAAGATATTTTACAAGTTAACATAAAGTTCCTACAATATGAAGGACTTTTAATATCTCTAATAAATTCAAGAGTTAAACTTGAAATCAATACTGAAACTTTTAACACTTTTAAACCAATAATTCCTGAGCTAATTCATGTTATAACACAAAACATAAAGGGGTGCCATTTTATTTATGAAATACTTTTGAAAAAATAATAAAAGTTCCGGAATCTCAAAATAAATGGAAACATGAACTATCACTACCGGAACATTCGAATGAAATCGAACAAACGCATTTAAACTAAGATTGGAAAAAAAGATGATAATACTAGAAGTTATTGTAGAGACATTTAAATGTCAATATGTTAATCAATTAGCAGACTTGAAAAAACTAAATGTTAACTGACCAAAACAAAACGGATTATACGTTAAATTTTATATATTTATACTTGCAGGCACAATAACCAAAGTTTCAATATACAAACATTTCATCCTACTTTAGTTTTTCATTATAATGTACAAAAGTAAATCCAATACTCTTCATGTAAGTGTGTGTGTAACTGAGATAAATATAGTAGATGGGCTCTCTACTAAAAAAGTGTCATATAGAACACCCTCTTATATTCTTTTTTCAAATTTAATGTAATAAATATATTGTTGGTGACACATCATTCGGAAAAGTTTCGGGCCACTTGTAAATTAGAACATGTTTCACTTCTGTTATGATAGATATCATTTTTATTTACTATGTAGAATTGGATAATCTGAATAAACAAGTTTATATGAACATACATATTTAGCTACAAATCAGTAAAGTTAATTATTATATTAATAAATCTATGTACTAAGATGAATAGAATTATGATAAAAAGATCATTTATTCTACTTACTTTTTAAACAAATAAATGTAAGTACTGCATCTGTATACTTAAACATTATTGTATACTATAGATATTAAGATAGTGGGAAATGTGCTCTTTCCCACCTGTAAATAGGGCTCATCGTTAAGTCAGGGGTACTCCTGACTCCCAACCACCACTGGAGGTCTAGGGTCGTGAGTGCACCTGGTACGGCCTTGGGCGCGTGTTATAGCAGGAAGACCGTATGGGAGCTTCTAGGCCCCAGGTCGTGCTCTGGTTGAGTCCAGGTCAACGTAGGAGTCGGCGTAGACTATCAATTCCAGCTGATCTTTATATCCCTTGTGTAAAAAATATTATCCACATCAGTTGTATGTGTATATTTATGTATGTGTATGTATGTATGTATGTATGTATGTATGTATGTATGTATGTATGTATGTATGTATGTATGTATGTATGTATGTATGTATGTATGTATGTATGTATGTATGTATGTATGTATGTATGTATGTATGTATGTATGTATGTATGTATGTATGTATGTATGTATGTATGTATTTTTTTAATAAACAGGGTTCCCTATTTGTTGAACCGAAGCGGAAAAAATCTCTCATTTGTTGACATCAAAATTTGAAATTTCTTCAGAGTTGACCATTTGCAAAAATATCTTTTAAAAATAGTACATTATTTTATCTCTGTGTACCGGACATACGAGTAGAAAGTGATATTCAGAGTCTATAACTCCTTTTGAACAGTATTTGCACACTTTATTACATGTTTTGCAGTAGATTACTGAATTATAACGGTTAATTATATTCTGATAATTTCACAGTAATGATTACCAAATATAATTTCACAGTAGCCGAACTATATTTGGCGTAAAAAATAAAATATTTATCATTAATGAATGTTTTTTTCAGCGGAAATGTAGTCAATCATAATAACAAATGTACGTGATAAACTGTAGTTCGTAAATATTTACGAACGTTGTGCTGAAAAACATCTAAAATCTAAAAATAATCATGGAATTATATTTTGCTTCAACATTGTGACGTCATTATTTGATGACGTCATGAAGATAAGAGCATGACGTTACGCGGCAAAAATCAGTAAAATGGTGTAAAAAAATCGTTAAAAAATCATGAAATAAACAGAAAATTTGTTTGTTTTACATGTAAGATCAAATAATATTTCACTCGTGAACCCCAGCTATTATATTTTCACTCGTGGCTACGCCACTCGTGGAAAATATTGCATCTGGTGTTCACTCGGTGAAATATTTTTTTCGATCTTACACTGAAACAAACAAATATCCTCTATCTATTTTCCTTCGGAGTACCATCATATCTCTCAGTTTCGTTAGCAAGGAAATGTGATGATACTCTACATGGATTAGGAATTTCGGTAATGTAACAAACAAGCAGTCGATTAATATTACTGTTTACAAGTTCCTTACAGTACACATCTGATGTAATAATTCATGTTATAAAAAAATTGTCATTTTAATACTTAAATATTCTAGTACAATGGCCGCTTTGTGTGACGAAGCATTGTCATGCAACAACCTTACACCACGGAGACCAGTTGCGTGTCGACGGTTTTTGCAATATTTCTTTAATTTATGAGGGACCTTGCCTTTGTAAAACTTGCCATTTATAGATTTATCATTTGGTACTGCAATTTGAATAGCAGGGCATTGACTGGTAAAGAAAATTACATGCATGACCTTTCTGACGCCCATGGTGTGTTTTATGCTATGCAAGGTCTTTGACTTCCTTTGGTTGCCTATATTTTTGTATGTATCTTTCGCTTGGGCTTATAAAAGTGACCCCATGTCTCATAGCCAGTGATGATATTTGCAAAAGATCGATTGTTGTATCTAGGGAACTGTTTCAACAATTGTTTGGAGATTCCTAGCCGAGCAAGTTCTTGCTCTTTTGTAAGGTGACGGGGTATTCATCCGGCACTTAGTCTTTTCATTTTTAAATCACGTCTGGGAATTGTACGAGTGGCTCTTAAAGAGATAGCAACGCATTTAGGTATATACCAAGTTGTAAATCTTGCATCAGTAGCAATCAAATCCTTTACTTTTTCAACTTTTTTGTCAGGCGTGCATGAGGTGCATCTTTTACTGACTCCGCACCATTTTTAAATTTCTTACGCCCCCGTGTGACAGTTGAAAAAAGAAAGTTCATTGTTCCCATAAACAGGACATATTTCGTTAAATATGTCTTTCACCTGTATACTAAGACAACAGCGTATCTTGATATAGGACCGTATTTGGTCAGTGAATGGAGACCTTTTCCCAACTATTTTAGCTTTAGTATACACGAGTAGATAGCGTTAATCAAGCTATTGTAAAGCTAGACTGAATTGATTTACACATGTATTTTATCAATTGAAAGCTTACACAACCATCTATGCGATAAATGTACATAGTTCGTGCAAAACGTGGTTAAACTTAAGCGAGATATTGGCCTAGTTGCATTCATATTTGAATACCCCTCATATTATACTTAATGATAGAGGCTAAATGTAAATGAGGTAATCACTTTAACTTACTATCATTGATACTATGAAATACGTCTAAAGAGTAAACCGAAAAAATATATACATATCAATAATTATAATATATCAAAAGTATTACATTCATAATTGGAACTGTACTGTTAATCAAGAGTCATGCCAAAATAGTTCTTGTAGAAACAAATTAAGATTATATAAAACATTTAAGAGTAACTTGAAACAGAAAATTATTGTAAGTTAGTTTTGAACAGATCACATAGGGGTGTTTTGGCTAAATTTCTCAATGGCACAGCTCCAATAGGTATATAGTTAGGGCGCTACAATGGTTGGCCAGTGAAACAACGATTGTACTCCAACTACCAAACTATTGAAGAGGATGAAAAGTGGGTATTATTATATTTCCCTCTATATGATCCCATACGTAAAGACTTGATACGAGAAGCGCAAATGCTAAACTATGGTTTTGATATCCTCGCAGACATTGATAAAGTAAGATATATTCTCTCAAATGCAGATATTGTATTTTAACTGCCAAAACCTGTTTTAACATACTGAATAGACGATAACTTATCTTATACAACTGTTATTATTTGAAATACCTTTTGGTGTTTTTAGATTTACATGTACTATCTAGAATATACCCTTGCTCATAATCTTCTAAACTGCATTTGATTAAATATAGATACAATATTAAATTCTATATGGAATATTTAAGGTACTTTGTTACCCCAGTATTTGGTAGATTCATTTTATCACATGTTCATAACCCTGGTTTAAATTAGCAAGGATATTTTAGATTTTTAGAATTTTACATGTAAGTAGTAAGTCAACTTTTTAGTTTCTTGTAAATCTTATAGATTTGCAATGTGCATTTATATTGTATTTTATATGATTTTAAGCGAGACTTTGATAAACTAATAAATTATCAAAAATAGTTGTAAAGCACATAATTCGTGTCAATTTAACTTCCGCGTTTTCAATATTATTGTAGCAACGCACTGTAAACATACGAAAGATAACGCAGGGATAGAATGATACCAGATACGTATTGTTACATGGAACGTTTATATAAACCAGTTTTAAAACTTATATTTTTGCATTGAAATATTAAATCGGATTGGTACAGTTTTGCTAAATAGTCAATTGAGAATATAAACTAACTTGAATTAAAAAATAGACAATCATTGTTGAACATAATGGCGGACGGTGGAGAGGACGATGAAGTTCCTGGGCGTGTCAAGGACACTTTGTGTAAACGCCGTGTCAAAGAAATTATGTGTCAACCATGTTTAAGTAAAGATAAGAAAATTGTGGCTGACAAATTTTGTTCAACGTGTAATGAATTCCAGTGTATTGATTGTTCAGGTGTGCATAACGTGCTAGCAATCTTTACAAGTCATAAACTGCTAAATGCAAATGTAGCACATGTAATCAGATGTGATCAACACCAAAAGGTTTTAGATTATTTCTGTGAAGATGAGAACAAGCTTTGTTGCAGAACTTGCGCCATTGTTGATCATCGTGCATGTAAAAGCATTGCTGAGGTCGAGAAAATTACCGGGGAAATAACGTCATCAAGTTCTAATTTAGATGATATATTGCAGGAAGCCAAATACAATGCAGAAGATATTGCAAGAGACATTATCACTTCAAAAGATCAACTTGTTCAAGACGTTCAAGAAATACAAGCAAAAATAAGAGAAATGCGAGATGATGTAATGAGTATGTTTGACGAGTTAGAAGTTGCAATTGTTAAGAGAGCCAAAACTCTTCAAGAAGAAACATTAGATAATCTTGAAAAGAAGAAGTTACAAATCGAGAAATATTTGCATAAAGTTACAGCGTATCTAGAAACGGTTCAAAGCATTTTCAAAACTGGAACTCCAACTCAGAAATTTATAGCAGAACAGAGGATGGATAATGAAGTCAATTTTGTATGCAGAAATGTCAATGAGGAATGTCAGAACTTCCAAACGATGACCATTTCATTTGATTTTGACGAACAATTAAATCTACCACCAAAATCAATTACTGACTTTGTTCCTGGACAGCTCACATTGAAATATCATCCTCGGGAAATTGTGAATGCTGTAAATCAGGTGATGACATTAACTCCAGGTTCTTCCATTGAGTTAAAGAAGACTGGAGATGACTTCGAACAACCATTCTATTCAGGAATAGACTTTCTATCCGATGGTAGAATTGTTGCTGTGGATAATAACAATAAGAAATTGATAGTTTACAATGAAAAGTTGGAAAAAGTAGGATCATATCAGTTATCTTATCATCCATTGTCCGTTGTTGCTGTGTCTGAGGATGAAGTAGCGATAACAAGTGGAAGGGAATGTATAATAGACTTCTTACGTGTCAGTAAAGTTAATGAAATAAGATCAAGTAGAAAATATAATGTAACAACGAAATATGATTCTATATGTTTAAACCATAATAGCCAATTTGTCGTAGGGACTTTTGATTACCAAATACCTGTTGAAATAATATCATTGGCAGGAGAACCATACGTTTTTAGTATCAACTTTCCGAAAAAGGCATATACTGAAGACACAAGCACTTGCACTTACATACAGAACAGTGATAAAGTGGTGCTTACAGATAGAAACGAGCATACTGTCTACATATATGACGTCAAGACAAACACGAGAGTTGTGGTGAAGGATAAGCCGATAAAGGAACCATGTGGTGTAGCAGTTGGTCCATCTGATACTATCCTGATTTGTAGTAATGGAACAGACTCCATTGTAGAATTGTCACAAACTGGTCAGATCTTATCATCACACAAGATAGGTATGATATTTCCGTCTAAAATATGTGTCTCACGAGATAAGTCAATTCTTGTTGTTACAAATTCCTGTTTAGGAAACATGAAAATGCAGAAATTTAAAATATCACTATAATTACGCAATCTTTTGTTTCTCACGATCGCAACTTTTCGGCCATTTCCGCTAGTCTTCGGATAAGGACCTCAAACACAATAGAGTGAATACACAGAACGGATACAGTAATTCGGTGTAATCATCGCTAAGAAGCTTAATATAAAAACAAATAGTAATTAAATGCCGGGAGTTGTTGACACATTTATTTTCATTATACCAAGTAAAAGTCCACCTTAAATAAGTGAATTTATAGATACAAAAGCAAACAATATATTATATATATATTATTATGGTTGTAGAAACCGAAAGTACAGAATGCCAACTTGTTGATATTAAGTCGGATTTTTTTAAAATTGTAAATCTAAAACGGTTGTCAGGCATATTTTCAATCATAAATGTACCGAAACAGACGTTATTTTCCTTTGGACATTCGTTTTACATTATAGAAGTTTCTGTTTACATCTGAAATTCTGGAAACAAAGTGATCCGTTGGAAGCATTTATCACAACAAAATAACATAAGAATTGCAGACTCGGTTTGATTGAGTCTGTACATGAGGGATAATGAATAAGTGCAACACGTGGTAGAACTACTTTCAATCCGTATTAACTCCGAGGTCATTATAGTTAATAGCCGAGGACGTTCCGTAAGGCATACACAATTTACATTAGAAGGTGAAAATAATCGGTAGTTTCAAGTGTGATCAAGACAATGCATACATGTATATATAGTGATTCGATGTACGTAAGTCTCATGTCAAAATGTGACTTTCATAAGTACACAAAGTTTCAAAACCAAAGTGTGAAGAAGTTGTATAATCGAGATCAATTGTGTTAATCGTATACATGTACATATCGAGATTATCTTATGAGTGAAAAAATAATAATGATTATTTGTGTTATTTGTATTTTGGATACATCGTATTTAAAGTTGAAAATTAAACCACTCTTTTGACATGCATCAAACTGTTGTGTAGCACTGCAAATGTAATAATTAACACGTTCTGTGTCAACGTTATTTTATTTCATATCTACCATTGTTCGAATAGTTGTGTACTGTAAATAAATCATCAATATCCATTCTGTTAGTTTCATATGTTTTCTTTATGGAATTGTTGTTGTGCAATTGCTTATAAACTAATGGTCTAATATTTTTTCATAAGTCATATTTGTACCTTTAAGGTATGGTATACTATCCATTATAACGCATGGCAACATTATTTAGGCGACACTTGAGTCGTAAGATTATTCTATGAACAAGAAGTATTGTTAACTGTAGCATGAAATTATTTAACAAATGTAGATATTTTAATTATCATGTTCTTATTGTGTTTAATCAAGGTAAATAAAGATATATATCCGAAGTTATATATTATTTTGAGTTCTACTTGCCTTTCATTGATTTTTTCATATGTACTTCTCTCTTAAATATTCTACATGAAGAAAAGAACAAATATGCTATATGTTGAATATATGATTGATATTGAATGCCTGTGCACGGACGACCCAGGGTAATTCTGGGATCATATAAAAAATCTTGATCCAAAAAGGTCTATACCTATGAAAGGTTATGATGCAGAAAGAAATGTGATTAAAGACTGTGATTTTGTTTTTTTAATAAATTGTCAAGTGATTTTGAAAGTCTTTATAACCAATGAAAATTTTGACAAGGCATTTTACGAGCAGATTATAAACGGGACGAGTTTCTAAGTAGACCGATTGTTTGCCCCCCTTTCTGTAAAAAAAACCGCTCTTGAATTTCCCTATACAACTGAAATAGAAAAAATCGTTAAAAGTGCGAAAAATGGGAAAAGTGCGGGGTACGATAAATTACCTTATGAAGTTTTAAAGTTTCCCATCATAATCGATTTTTGTTATCATTGTTTAGTTTTTACTTTGAAACAGGAACTATCCCAAGTATATGGCGAAAAGCATTAATTGCCCCGATACCATATGACAATACCAAAGACAAACGTGCACCACTAAACTATAATTTTCCGTTGTTAGCAAATTGTATTCAACGTTATTAAATAACAGATTAAAATATACTTCGAAGAGCAAAATTTATATTCTGATGAACAAAACGGTTTCTGTTCTAAAAGGTAATGTGTGGAACATGTATATACAGCTTGCATCATTATTACAGAAAGCAAGTGACTTTGTTAAAAGAAGTATACTTTTATACAAACTTCTGTCATATATCTTATGTCTTCCTTAACGAAAGTAGAGCGGTCGCATTTGGCGCAATTAAGATGTGGTATTATTCTGCTCAAACTGGAAACCGTATGATACGTTGGATTACGCGTTGATGAAAGAATACGCACTCCTTGTACTGACAATGTTATTGAGGATGAAACTAACTTTTTATTGAAATGCTCTAGGTACAACGTTTTACGTGTTAATCTCATTATCAAATGTAAAGAGAATAGCTGTGACTTTGACAATATGTCTGATATTAAAAAAACTAAAATACTTGATAAAATATCAATATGTTAGTGCTGCAAAGTTTATTGTTGAAAGTATGAAAAGAAGAAAGTTGCATCTTTAAAAATGAACTGGTGGTATTACATAATGACAATTTACTTGCATGTATTTAATCATGTAAATTATTATATGAACCATCTCCAGAATAATTTGAAAATAACAAGAAATAAAACTATATCTTAACATTGTATACAATTTCTGGCCTTAAAATTTTGATATGCTTTGGGAGTCGTCGGTTCGATTCTAGGACAAGGTGAAGTTTTTGCATGCCCATTCATTTTGGACATTGGGTCTAGTGGTCAGATTATTGTATTGTAACATGGCCAGTAATTGACCGCAAAAAACTGCAGGGAAAACAATAAGATTCAATGTGACATCAGGTGATTGAATGAAAATTTAGTGCTTACAAGAATAAAGATTATTTAAGAAACTAACACTGTATTGTTTTCTTAAGAAAATGAATTGTTATATAAGTATCTAGGATGATTTCTCATTTGGATATATGCATTTTAAAAAGAATATGTCAGTCCTGTGATTAGCAGAAGATTTCAGTGAATAGTGGGATAACATCTTTAGTTACATTTTGCGAAAAACTTGGTCGGTCAACCTTGTATAACAAAATCATTTTAAATTAATGTTACAGGTATATCAATCGTCTAGAAAAATTCGTCTATGGGAAAAACTTGTACAGTAGTCTGACCTAGTGCTCTTTTATCTCTCGAGATATAACCGAATATTTGTTGAAATGGGCGTAAAAATTGAACCAAACAAATTGAAATGTACATGCGCTTATCCCCTGATATATACATGTGCTGATAATTCGAAAGTAGCTAATACTACTGTTCCGTGAGCCCTCGATCGTTTTCATCAAAAATCACTAGCAACTTCCAGAAAAGTATTGCTTTTATTCACTTACTTTACGAAAAATTATTTATTTTATAAAAATGAGCATTTCTATAACAAGATATGAACTTATCCATTTCAAATGACATTGTAAAGTGACAATATTAAATGTACAGTGACCCAACCATCTCACCTCATTTACAAAATGTAGCACGGTCAGACGGAAGATGAAACATCGGCCTGTAATTGACTGGTCCTGTAGTATTTATCAGTATAAAGCGCATGTCCGAACCAAAACAAATAAATTCGTGAATGTATAACAGTTTAAAACAGGTTTAGATATGATTTTTTTGCAGATTTACATATCAGTTTTTTGCGTATATGTTGAGCAAATGTGCATGCCATTATTAAACGCATGTGGACATGAGTCTATTTAAAGCATGTGTACATATAATTATTGAGCGCATGTACATGTCATTAGTATCTGCATGTACATATAATCATTAAACGTTCGTAAATATTTGGATTAAATAAATCATATTTATATATTTGTATATAAGTATGTAAGAATTGCATGTACATGTCGATATTAAACGCATGCACATATATGTATCGAACTCGCGTTAGTGTTGGAAAATAAGCTTTCTAATGAAGATGATTCTACGCAAGATAAGTAACAGATTACTTGTATGGTTACAAATATCTATATAATAATGATATGATACTAGTCTATGATAAAACACGAGCAAAAATTCTTATCAACAGTTCTGTTTAGGAAACAATCTTTAAAAATAAATGTTAAAGTGTTGCATTCATGATCGCCACCGTATCAACAGACATATTTCTAAATTCCAAATTTCACCATGTTAATGTATAAAATTTACTCAAATATACTACATGTCTAACCTCGCTACAGCCGAGTCTACGGCATTTTTAATTGTGCCGTTTGGAAGCGACTTCAAAGATGTGAAAGCAAGACATACGTATCGACAGTAAATGTAAATGTCACTAACCAGGAAATGTAAAACATTGATTATCTAGAATATGTTTAGAATGAAAATACATGTATACATATGATAAGAACAATATTACTGAAATATAAACATTTGTGGTACATTCTTGTAAGAATGAAGACGTAGAACGTAATCCGTTTTAATTTTTCTTTGAAAATATACATACAATAAGAACAGTACTACTAAAATATGAACGGTTGTGGTGCTTTAATGTAAAATGAATACGTATAACGTTATAAGTTGTGTGATGATAATAGTGATGATCTGTTAGCAAATATATTATGAGGATTGGATATCATCTGAAATAATGATTCCATGACATTTCATCGAAAGCCATCTCATCGAAAATGAAAGTTAGTCGAATCCGACATTTGAATTAGAGTTGGACAATACTAGTATCATATATCAATTTAAATATTGTTCTGTGTAACATTATTCACTTACAACATTTTGTGTCACTCACTTGTATCTCTTGATAAAAACCTTTCTGTTATCCTACATATTTCTGTTAACGTTAACCTTTATTCTTGTAGGGTTTTTAACGTTTATTTAACGCAAAATGAATTGTAAATATAGGTCGCTACGTAATAAATTATGATTTATGTTTTAAGTCAAACATTAAATATGAAAATGTATGTTGTCAGTTGTGAATGTTAATGCTATATGTCCCTTCTGACAATCATAAATAAATCTATTTTAAGAGCAAGTATCGAATTCTGATATTTATCCCGCTTTAATAATTTCTAAAATATCTAAAAGTATACAGTATAATGAAATAAATTAAATTAATCACTTAACGTAGTTTATAACTTTAGATTTACTATCCATTGATACTATGAACTTTATCGAATAGCGCAAAATGAAAAATATACATGTATTATCATATCTTATTTCATAAGTTATACATGTACTTCAAACAATTCATCTACATTTCACTTCAGCGTTTTTATAGTAGCTGATTTGTGTCATGTCGTATGAGCATGTTTTCGGGGCGAAAATGTGATAAAACGGAACTACTTTTTTGCGTTGCGGGACGAAAATTGCAGTTTTGGCGTGTTTTCGCCTAACGATCTTTCGCCCCGCCACATGAAAACACGCCACATTCTATGTATCATGTATGGTACAAAAAAAAATCAGCGACGCGAAAACGCGACAAAACATAACTTAATCGCGTTTTCGCGAGGCGGTCTGTGAAAACAGGCCACATTCTATCTGTCGCGATTTTACCTTTAATTTAATTGTCGAGTCTTTTCCTGGCGGGTCGATAAATTGAACCAGTCTAGATAATAGACAGTTTTATAAAAAAAAATTCAAGCACGAAATTGGTTAGTGTTTAATAGTATGCGCCGTTCTTTAACAATTAAATGTAATGTTTACTAATAAACACTAAAATAGAAAAAAACCAGAATCCCTAAAGAACGTTCAAAACGGCAATATTGAAAATTTTGATTGAGCCTGTTCCTGAACGTTAGTGGAAAATGCAAGAAATCCGTTCAAGGCCGCTAGCACCGGTTTAAGCAGAATTGAACATTTAAACATGAAAATAGTGATTTTTTTTATTTAGAAACATTCGAAGATGCATTCATACGGCGGTCGTCATGGAACATTCAATTTAACACTTCCGTGCCATTCCATGAAAAGCGGCGTATGGTCCCAAAATTAATTTGAAACATATTGATTAGTGGTTGGATTATGGTAAATTCTAGCACCACTAGGTATGGTCGATATAATTAGATGATACTTTGTCTAAGTAAGTGTGAAGACCCGAACTCTCTATATTATATAATATGCAAAAACTGTGATGCAATTAGCGGGCGCTGTGGTCTAGTATTTAGCATAGCTCAATCGATTAGAGCGCGAGACTTGTAATAGCAAATTCAAATTCAAATATCTTTATTCACCCAGGTATTGATAAAATACATAAGGGGTTTACAAAATAAAATTTTACAATATATATGTTCCGGTTGTAAAGTCCTGAAAAGAAAATGCAGTATTAATAGTCGTTTAGTTATTATTAAACAGAAATATAAAGAATAATGTACATTTTTAATGTTTAAAAGAAAGAAATGGGGGTTCAAGTGAGGACATTGCGACATTGCCAGTTGCAGGTTCTATTTCCCTTCCTCTTCTCTAACTAAAAAAAACAAACAATTTGATATAGGTGTTATTGAAAATAATAATATGTTCATCTTCGGCTTCTTTATTTTCCATTTTTTGTTATTTGTTTGTTTATTTTACTTTACATATCGTAGAGAAAAATACCATCAAGGAATGTTGTTGTTTTTTTCGGGGTTACACCTACTCCGAAGTAGTAACTATTCGCCCGGATCGCTACAACATCATTATAAGGTAAAGTAACATCACAATGATGTTTAAATTTTACTTTGTTATGGACGATTTCTGTTTCAGAGGACTATGACAATAAAATGTAGACTGGATGTTGCTATGGCAACAGCTACATTCCAAATACAACAACAGAGCAATAATTTGTGAAAAGTTAGACAATTTCCTAAATAAGATGAATAACGTTATGAAAAATATGTAATTAAATTCATATCTTAATTATCTTGTTTGTGTAAATAATGAATAATAATCATTCAAAATATCATAAAATTTTTCCATTCTCCTTTAGGCGTTATAGAAAAGGATAATTGGAATATCCAAATGAAAATCGTCATAATTTTTGTCAAACTAATTAAAAATAAGACACATAGGATGTGAATAATTACACGTTTGTTAACATTTAGATATATTTTCCTTAGATTATATACATGTACGAGGGTTGTCCAAAAAATTCGTGCACTTTAGTTATTGTCGTAAGAGTAATTGATAAAAAGACATGGATTATATATCACTTGAAGGGGAAATTTATATCTAATAAGAAAACAAAAGAATAAGCGGTGTACCCGGCATGTCGAGAAAACGAATCATCATACAGTTACCTTGGTAACGTAATACCGGCGCACGACAAAAATTGGGTTAGTTTATTACTTTGATGCATTACAGTATCCTTAAAACACTACATATAAACGTCAAAATTCATGGAAAAGTGTGTGTACGTATTCCTGACGTCACTAGAAAATATGACGTCAATTGCTCTTTTGTAACGGTCGTATACAAACCTTTCTGTGTGGTTGTTAATACTGTCATTACGTGAAAATGTCAGTCGCTAAACGTCTGGAAATGCGAACGATCATTAAATTTTGCGTAATTATTGGTAAAACAAAAAGAGATACCTACAAAGAACTTAAAAGGGCATGCGGGACCAGTTCAGTGTCACGAAAGGCTGGTTTTTAAATGGCATAAACGCTTTGTAGAGGGGCGAGAGTCGGTAGACGATTACAACCGGTCAGGCAGACGTCCGTCCGTAAGGCCGGCGCATGTGACAAGGGTTATCCAATATATTCGTGCACTGGTGGAATATGTTACATGTACGTTGCATAAGAACAATAAAAACTACAAAATACTTTGCATCAATCATTCCTCTATTGACAGTAAAACAAATTATGACATGAAAAGCAAATGCCACTTTACAAGCAACAAAAAATTAATACAATCACAGTAATGAACTAACCCAATTTTTTGTCGTGCGCCGGTATTACGTTACTAAGGTAACTGTATGACAATTCATTTTCATAACATGCCAGTTACACGGCTTTATCTTTTGTTTTCTTATTTGAGACAGATTTCCCCTACAAGCTTCAAGTGATATATAATTCATGTTTTTTTTATCAATAACTCTCACGACAATAACTGCAGTGCACGAATTTTTTGGACAACCCTCGTATTAAAGTTTTCATTGCGAGTCTGATATTCAGCATACGTCACTATATCGATTAACAGTAAACAGTAAAATGCAATGTCGCATCTTTCTGGGCGGGCGCCATATGAAAATACGACACAAATTATTTTTCAAATGTTTTTGTTTTCGCTGGGGCGGCAAAAAATAAAACACAAATTAATAGAATATAACCGACACATAGAATGTGGCGCGTTTTCGCGTGACGGGGCTAATGGTCGCCACGCAAAATCCCGATAAAGTTATGATTTGTCGCGTTTTCGCGTGGCGGGTTTCCGTGTTGGTAATATGATATATAGAATGCGGCGTGTTTTCATGTGGCGAGGCAAAAGGTAGCAAAGGCGAAAATAGGCCAAAATTGTAATTTTCGCCCCGCTACGCGAAAAAAGTATTTTCGTGTTTTCGCATTTTTGCCCTGAAAACATGCTCATACGATATGACACAAATCAGCCACCATACATTTCAGAATATCTATTGTAGCAATGTACTGTAAACATACGGTAGATAACACATGGATAGATACTAGATGAAATGCTGATATGAATCAGTTTTAAAACCTAATTTTTTTGCATCGAAATATACAATCGGACACAGTAACAGTTTCGCTAAATTGTGAGTTGAGAATATAAACTTACTTAATTAGGAAATCGAGAATCATTGTTAATCTAAATGGCGGATTGTGGAAGTAATATACGAGAGGATGATGAAGTTCCTGGGCGTGTCGAAGAAACTTTGTGTCAAATGCGTGTCAAAGAAATTATGTGTCAACCATGTTTAAGTAAGGATAAGAAAAATGTGGCTGACAAGTTTTGTTCAACATGCAACGAATTCCAGTGTAATGATTGTTCAGATGTGCATAACGTGCTTGCAGTCTTTAAAAGTCATAAATTGCTAAACGCAAATGTAGCTCATGTAATCAGATGTGATGAACATCAAAAGGTTATAGATTTATTCTGTGAAGCTGAGAACAAGCTTTGTTGCAGTACTTGCGCCATTGTTGATCATAGTAAATGTCACAGTGTTGTTGAGGTTGAGAAACTTGCAGGGAAAATGACGTCATCAAGTTCTAGTTTAGAAGAGATATTGAAGGAAGCTAAAGAAAATGCTGAAAATATTGCAAGAGATATTATCTCTTCAAAGGATCAACTTGTTCAAGACGTTGAAGAAATACAAGCGATAATTAGGGAAATGCGAGATGAAGTAGTGAAAATGTTTGAAGAATTGGAAGTTTCCATTGTTAAGAGAGCTAAAACCCTCCAGAAAGAAAAAAATAGGTGACCTTGAAAAGAAGCAATCACAAAACAAAAGGCACTTTGCTAATGTTACAGCGTATCTAGAAGCGATTCATAGCATTTACAAAAGTGGAACTCCAACGCAGAAATTTATAGCAGAACAGAAGATAGAAAAAGATGCAAATGTTATATGCAGAGATGTCAATGAGGAATGTCAGAACTTCCAGACGATGACCATTTCATTTGATTTGACGAACAATAAAAATCTGCACCGGAATCTATAAGTGACTTTGTTCCTGGGCAGCTCACATTAAAATATCATGAACTGGTAAATGTGAATGGTGTAAATAAGGTGAAGATATTAACTCAAGTTTCTTCTTTTGATTTAAAGAAGACGGACGATTACATCGAGGAACCATTTATTACAGGATTAGACTTTCTACCCGATGGTAGACTAGTTGCTGTGGATAATAACAATATGAAATTGATAGTTTACGATGAGAAACTTGAGGTATTAGGATCATATCAATTATCTTATGGGCCACTAGCCATTGTTTCTGTATCTGAGGATGAAGTAGCGATAACAAGTGGCGACACATATATGATAGACCTTCTACGTGTTGGTAAAGCTAATGAGATAAGTTCAAGAAGAAAATATCGTGTAACCACGAAATATGATTCTATATGTTTAAAGGATAATAGCCAATTTGTTGTAGGGACTTTTGATTACCAAATACCCGTTGAAATAATATCATTGGCAGGAGAACCAGATGCTTTAAGTATAAACTTTCCGAACAAGGCATATCAGGCAGACACGAGCGTTTGTACTTACATACAGAACATTAATAAACTCGTGCTTACAGATATCTACAAGCATACTATCTACATATATGATATCATGACAAACACGAGAGTAGTTGTAAAAGATGATCATATACAGACACCATGTGGTGTAGCAGTTGGTCCCTCTGATACTATCCTGGTTTGTAGTTATGGAACAGACTCCATTGTACAGATATCACAAACAGGTCAGATCTTGTCATCACACAAGATAGATATGAAATATCCGTATAGAGTTTTGTGTTTCACTTGATAAAGCATTTCTTGTTGTTACAAATTCCTGTTCAGGAAACCCGAAAATGCAGAAAGTTAAGATGTCATTTTAATAACGCAATAATCAGTATCTTATAGTACATACATGATTCACAATGGTGAAAATGATGATCGTTTCAGGATGACCAAGACTGTGCATACATATATAGTCATTGGATATGAGTCCCATATTAAAATGTGACTTTTATAACTACACTAACATTCAAAACCAATTTGTTGATAAGTTATACAATCAAGAACAATTGTATGAATCTTACATCTAATGAGTGAAACAGTTCAATGATGATTATTTCTATTATTTATTTCATTTTGATACATCGTACTTAACACTGAAAACAAACCATTCATTTGACAATAATCAAACTTCTATGTAGCACTGCAAATATGACAATTAACGCATGATCTGTGTCAATGTTATCTTATTCACTTATTCAGCTACAAGTGTTCAAATAATTGTGTAATTGTGTGTTCATCTGTAAAGTCAATTGATCAATATCATTTCTATTAGTTTCACCTGCTTCTTTCTATATGAAATTGCTTTTTTGAAATTACTTATAAACTTATACTCAAATATTTTGAATCACGTTAAGTTTGAATCAATCATCACAGCCCATACTTTTCATACGTCATATTTGTACCTATTCGAGTTGTTGTGTAATCTATCATAACGGCATGGCAACATTATTTGTATATGCCAAGGCAAGAACTACATGTTATTTTGGATGAGTTTTATGTCGCACCAACCAGTATAGGTCATATGGCAACTTTCCAGCTTTACTTGTGGCGGAAGACGCCAGGTGAATCTCTGTACATTATTTCAGGCACAAACGGGCACCTGAGTGGGACCACCGATGTTCCGTAAGCAAGCTGAAGTATTGTTAATTTTAGCATGAAATTATTTAGGAAATGTATATATTTTACTAAATCATCTCACAATGTTAAATCAAGACAAATAAAGATATATATCCGGAAAAATATATTATTTTGAGTTCTAATTGCAATTTATTGATATGTTTTGATTTCATATATATTTCTCTAGCAAATATTCTACATGAAGAGAAAAAGAAATGTGTTATATATTCTAATCATCCAAATACCCTCAATTTATATATATTTAAATATTGACACACATTTATTTTAAAAATCTTGGACGTTCATTTGTGCAAGTTTAACTTTTTTATACACCATAGTCGGTTCTTGGCTGTCTTATCTCAATAAGGAAAGGATCGAATAAGTTGTCAGTGAGTCGCTGGTTCGATTCTAGGGCAAGGCGAAATGTGTGCATGCCCATGGATTTTGGACATTGAGTCTAGTGATCAGATTATTGTATTGTAACATGGCCAGCAATTTGGCCGCAGAAAGTGCTGGGAAAACCCTAAGATTCAATGGGATATCGTTGAATGAAAATGTATCCTTTACAAGTATAAATATTATTTATGAAAATAACACTGCGTTGCTTTCTAAAGAAACTTAACTATTTCAAAGGTTTCTAGGATGAATTCTCATTTTGGATATTTGCATTTGTAAAAGTATATAACAATCCGATTAGCAAGAAGTTTCAGTGAAAAGAGGAGTAATTATCTTTTGGGACATTATGCGAAACAGTTGGACGGTCAACCATTTAAAACAAGATCATTTAAATAGTCCGGCATGTTATTCTTCTATAAAAATCACATCTTAAGCATGATATTCAATTTTAATTAGGTTAAGGTTTTCCTTTAGATTTATTATAATGTATGTCTATGAAATGATTTATACAATAGTCTATGTAAGTATGAGCACAGTCACTCGAACCGCACCCCACTGCGGGAAATGGTAGGGTTTATCTTTACAAATGACCGAATCCCTGAAAATAATCTCCATATCCCACGAACGAACAGGCCGGATGGTAAAATCTCTTAAATTGTAACCCAGCCTTTTTGTGCCAAAACTCCAACCTCGTTGACACACCATAGTACGTTCAGACGGATGATGAAACAACGGTCCATTTCCGGAAGCTGAAGATGTGGAAGTTGTAATTGACTGATCCCTTTTTACAATAAGCAAAAGCAAATGTTTTTCCTATCTTTAAATTGAAAAAAAAAAGAATGATGGGAAATGAAAGCATTTTTCGTGTAGCTGTATATGTTTTTTTATTATTGAGATTTCGACTTTTTATCCTATTTTAGCTATCAGACTAGAGCTGTTTTTATTGGTAGAACGGATATTCATGCAAAGTGTACTGCCATCATTTTACTTTTGAATGACACTGCAAGTTTTGGAATATAAGTTTGTTTTTATATGAATATTCTTTTACAGGATACATTAAACGGCAGATGCCTCCTTGTAGAATACTTAAAACCATTCAATTTAAATGGGTTCCGTCATGCGAGAAAGCTATTCTACTCGCTTACCGGACCTCAGGTACCCGCTATTGCCTGAAATAATGCACGGAACGGAAACTGAAGTTTTCCGCCACAAGTAGAGCTGGAAGGTCGCCACATTATCATTACAGTGAATGTTTGACTGAAAAAAGAAACAAAAGAGAAAAAAATCGGTTATAAAAATAAAAAATATTCCATAATGATACAGAAGAAATATGTCGCATTTTTAAACATACAAGTACTCGTATGTTTGCATCTTCTCAAATGTAACTATGAACGTTCATGAACGATTTCAACGTCCATGCTGTAAATTAATGTTATTTTCTAAGTTATTTTGAAAATTTCAGATTAAAAGATTGAGAAATGTTGCACTATACACGTTGTATACGTATAATACCGTATACAGCTTATACCGAACACAGCTGATCGCTAGCTGTATACGTCAAGATGCTGCATATCACCGTATATGGCTCATTTGTGTAAAGTGACTAAGATGGTGATTTTCTTCCCTTTTCCGCCCGGTCTACGGCCACGACTGTACTATTGTCTGAATAGCCAACGGCCAGTTATCACCATTCACCAGAACACCATTGAATAGGCATAAGTTTTATTCTAACACGAAAGCATATGTTTCCATGTCAAAGCATTCTATCAAACTGGTATCAAAGAGACAAGTACACCCATGTAACTACAGGGATGAGAGACAACAATGACTTCACGCACTACATAAACGCCGACGACAACGACTATGACTACGACCTAGATCACGACTAGGACTTTAACGACGACAAGTTCAGCTTCGACCACGATCTGCAATTCTAATGAATACGATTTTGTCGACGACTAACACTTCTACAAGTGCTACGACTTCAAGTTTGTCCACGACTACGACCTCGCCGACGATTACGGCCATTACCACGACTACAAATACGGTTACGACCACTATGATAACGAATAATGTGACTTACGACCCATTTATACAAGAACAGCTATAATGAATTTCAAAGCTACGCTTTCTACCAAGACTACAGGAACGACTGACTAAAACTACAGAAACGACCCCGAATACGAACTTCAAAGAATACAGCAAAAAGTACGGGTACGGCTTCGACCACCGCTACGACTACTAAGTCTTCTAAAGCTACAAGTCATAATATCTGCGACGACCACGACTTCTATGATTCCGAATTCGACTAAGAATACACCGACTGCTACGACTACGACCACAGCTACAACGACTACGACCATGGATTACAAGTACGACTTTTACGAATACAGTTACATCAGCATCCAAGAGCCTTTTTTTATCGAAGCAAAGTATTATTTTGTAATTGATAAAACAAGCTGTTTTTGTTCTGGTCAAAGTGAACATGGCCTAAAGTTTGATCTACTACCATGAAAATCATAAGGGGTTATATTCTGGCGATGATTAATATCCCTTCCAAATAAGAAAGTTATAGGATAATAATTATAGGGTTTTTTTTAAATTTTACAATAGGCGTGAGCTACAAAATGACTTATTCGAAAGTTGTTGCACATATCCAACGTTTACTTTTTAAGCAAGCTGTATAAGTTGTCAAGTAACGAATACTGCCAACCGTAAAGTACGAAATACGTTTTCAACCAACGTATACAACTCACGCTTACGCTATTTACGTCGTAAGCTACATAACGGTGTAACGGAGCCACTCTTGAGTTCGTCCTGGAACTTACCAGTACTGGTGTAACATGAAGAAACATGGTCGTGAAAATAAGCAGTGTTCGAACGCACCATCATTGGGTTTAAGAGCAGACACATTCCACATTCAAAACCTAAGAAGTAGCAAGGCTGTTGCGATTGCAACAACACAATCTGAACATAGTCAAAATATAATGACACGCAAAAGCTAGATTCTGAGATATGTCTGTTCTGCTTATGGAGGGGAGATATTGCCCATACACAAAATAGCACAATATCTCATCGCGTTGTACACACAATTTGTTGGATTACATCTGAAGTCTAGCAAATTAAATTCTTATTGTAACTTATTTCATACAATATACAATACACTTTGCTTAGCTATAAACTTACAAAGTTCTTAGCTATAACAATCGACACAAATATATGAGAAATAGTTTGCACAGGGTATACAATATTGTCAATATACAATAGTGTAAGATATTTAGTAGAATAAAAAAATAACGTGTCAACTATTAGTATTTGTTAAGCGGTCGTTTTGTGACTAAATATATTTGGTCAAATTTATAACATTAATTCTCACATTTGTACAGCCGTTTTCTGTATAAAAAAGGAAAAATGATTTTGAACATTCTTGATTTATGCAATTTTTCCAAATTTGATAAAAATCTATTTCAAAATGGTATCAGTTTTGTTGCTGAAAAAATTGACAAATACAATACAAGATATTTTACAAGCCTGCAATACGAAGGACTTTTAAGATCCCTAATAAATTCAAGAGTTAAACTGAAATCAATACTGAAACTTTTAACACTTTTAAACCAATAATTCCTGAGCCAATTCATGTTATCACACAAAACATAAAGGGGTGCCATTTTATTTTTGAAATACATGTAAAAAAAATAAAAAAAATTCTGGAATCTCAAAATAAATGGAAAC